ATTTTCATGGTGAGAACACTTTCATCAGTTAAGGTATTCCTGGCTGTGATAATATCTGCTTGTTAATTACTTCTAACCTCAATAAGTCTGGGGGTGGATGGACACAAGACTGGGTCAATGGTGCATGTATAATTTCCAGGACCTCCTTCCATCCTTCCACTTTGTTGCCCCCCTACCCCCAGCTGGCTGGCTTTTCTTTCTTAGGCCTGTTGTATCCTTGGTACCAGATGGCTGTGTGGCACCAGGGGAAGGGAAAGTAGATATGGAGTAGATATGCAGTTGTGTGTCTCAGGGGTTCAGCCACATACTAAGTGAGTGGAGTGGATTCACCCAGCATTGAGGTTTGCCAGGATAGTACAATGGAGAGAAAGAGGAATAAGTGATTAGAGATTATGGGCAGGCCATATGCTGGGCTGCAAAACAAAACTTGGCAAAAAAGGAAAGTGAGGATGTGAGACAAGACTTCTAGAGGGGTTGAAGTTTGTTTGCATAATTACTAGAGGAAGTGAACTAGAAAGATAAGATGCAGTGATCGAAGAGTCAGAGGCTCACAGTTGTGATCTTCAAGGTGATTTCATGAATGGAACAGACCATGGTGGTGAGTGGTTCAGGTGGAGCAGGAAGCAGGATGGTTAAAAGTAAGGCCATGAAGAACTGAGAGGCAGGGGCACTGACCGGGTGACTCCTGTGGTAGCAAAGGTCCTGAGAATGGGCCAGTGGTAGTGGTAAAAAGGTCATCAGTGGAGTGCTTAAATCTTCAGTGGACATGGAAAGTGATGGATAGTACCATGGGTTATTGCAATCAGGATCAGAGAGTGGTAAATCTGATGTCAAGTGTTTCAAAGAAGTTCAGTTTTGTTTTAAGTGAAATGGGAGGAATAATGGTCTAAAAGTGGCAGGGATCCACTTCATGTCCTAAGATGTATGCATGTGGAAGAATAAAAAGCCACTGCTTTCCATAGGAGACTATAGATTTTTCATTAGAACAGTAACATGATAAGAATATGCCTGTAAACAGTCAACAAAACTAAAATGCAACTTACCAAATTGGAGAAGATATTTGCAAATGACATTACAGATAAAGGGCTAGTATCCAAGATCTATAAAGAATTTATCAAACTCAACACCCAAAAAACAAAGAATCCAGTCAAGAAACGGGCAGAAGACACGAACAGACATTTCTCTAAAGAAGACTTACAAATGGCCAACAGACACATGAAAAAATGCTCCACATCCTTTGGCATCAGGGAAATACAAATCAAAACTGTAATGAGATAACACCTCACACCAGTCAGAATGGCTAAAATTAACAAGATGGGAAACAACAAATGTTGGTGAGCATGTGGAGAAAGGGAAATCTCTTACACAGTTGGTGGTAATGCAAGCTGGTACAGCCACTCTGGAAAACAGTATGTGGTTCCTCAAAAAGTTAAAAATAGAGCTACCTTAGGACCCAGCAATTGGACTCTAGGTATTTACCCCAAAGATACAAATGTAGTGATCCGAAGGGGCACCTGCACACCAATGTTCATAGCAGCAATGTCCACAATAGCCAAACTATGGAAAGAGCCCAGATGTCCATCAACAGATGAATGGGTAAAGATGTGCTATATATATATACATACACACAATGGAATATTACTCAGCCATCAGAAAGGATGAATACTTAACCATTTAACAATACATAACATGGATGGAACTGGAGGGTATTATGCGGAGTGAAATAAGTCAAACAGAGAAAGACAATTATCATATGGTTTCACTCATAGGTGTAATATAAGAAACAGCACAGAGGATCATAGGGGCAGGGAAGGAAAACTAAATGGGAAATCATCAGAGAGGGAGACAAACCATGAGAAACTCTTTTTTTTTTTTTTAAAGATTTTATTTATTTGAGAGAGAGTGCACACAGCAGGGGGAGGGGCAGAGGAAGAAAGAGAGAGAGGGAGAAGCAGACTTCCCACTGAGCAGGGAGCCCGATGCGGGGCTCGATCCCAGGACCCTGAGATCATGACCTGAGCTGAAGGCAGGCGCCTAACGCCTGAGCCACCCAGGCGCCCCCATGAGAGACTCTTAACTATAGGAAACAAACTGAGGATTGCTAGAGGAGAGGTGGGTGAGGGGATGGGATAATTGGGTGATGGCCACTAAGGTGGGCACGTGATGTGATGAGCACTCGGTGTTATATGTAACTGATAAATTATTGAACACTACATCTGAAACTAATGATGTACTATATGTTGGTTAATTGAATTTAAATAAAAAATTTAAAAAAAGAATATGCCTGTAAGTTCCACAGGGTTCAGGGGTGGGTGTTAAGGAATAGATGAGAAATAGGGACCTAAAGATAAAGATAAGAGTGGGGATAAGAAATAAGATTAGGAATATACAAAACTAAATTTACTCATGCTTTCTGGGTTGTTGTTGCCAGTGCTTTTGGTGCCATATTTAAGAAATCATTGCTAAATCCAATGTCATAAAGCTTGCCCTCCATGTATTCTTCTAAGAGTTTTATACTTGTAGGTCTTATGTTTAAGTTTGATCCATTTTGAGTTAATTTTTATATATGGTTAAAGGTAAGCATCCAACTTCATTTTGCATGTGGAAATTCAGCTTTCCAAGCACCATTTATTGAAAAGACCACCCTTTCACCATTGTATGGTGTTGGCACCCTTGGAAGAAATCAATTGACCAGATATATGAGTGTTTATTTCTGGGTTCTGGGTTTTATTCTATTGATCTACATGCCTATCCTTATGGAAGTACCACACTATTTTGTTTACCATAGTTTTGTAGTAAGTTTTATTATCAGAAAGTGTGAGTCCTCCAACTTTGTTCTTTTTCAAGACTGTTTTGGCTTGTATGTAGGTTTTTATAGATGTTCATTAGCAGGTTGAGGAGTTCCCTTCTCTTACTAGTTTGCTCAGAGTTTTTATGAGATGTTGATTTTGTCAAAAGCATTTTCTGCATCTATTGAGATGATCTCATGGTGAATTACATTTAGCTTTGAATGTTAAACCAATCTTGAATTCTTGGGATAAACCCCAGTTATGATGTATTATCGTTTCTAATGTTGCTGGAATCCATTTGCAGAAACTTGGCTAAGAATTTTTATATATAATGTTCATGAAAGATATTGGTCTTAAGTTTTCTTGCAATGTCTTTTTCTGGTTTTGTTATCAGGGTAATGCTGTGGTTATATAATGAAAATTTTCACTCCTCTTCAATTTTCTGGGAGAGTTTATATAGTATTGGTGCTCTTTCTTTGTTAAATATCTGGTAGAACCAGAATCTACCACAGAAACAATCTGGGCCTGGAGGTTTCTTTTTTGGAAGGTTTTTAACTGTGAATTCAAATTTTAAAGTAGGTATAGTCCTGTTCAGGTTATGTATTTTATTTGGTAGTGTACAACTTTTGTGGAATTAGTCCATTTCATATAAATTATCAAATTTGCATGTGCAGAATTTTCCTAGTATTATCTTACTCTGCTTTTGAAGATTTTATTTTTAAGTAATCTCTACATCCAGCTAGGGATGAAACTTAGAACCCTGAGATGAAGAATCACATGCTCTACTGACCTAGCCAGCCAGGTGCCCCTCCCTTACTCTCTTTTTGAAGTCTGTGGGGTCTTTAGTGATATCTTCTCTGGTATTCCAGATATTGGTAACCTGTGTGTTTTCTCTCTCTCTCTCTCTTTTTTTTTTTTTGGCAGGCTTATCAGATACCTTTTATCTTTTTTTTTAAAAGGATGTATTTATTTTAGAGAGAGAGAGCAGGGCGAGGCACAGAGGAAGAGAGAGAGAGACTCTTAAGCCGATTCCCTGCTGAGTGGGGAGCCTGATGTGGGGGTTCTATCTCTGGACCCTGAAATCTTGACCTGAGCCAAAATCAATAGTGGGATGTGTAACCACTGAGCTACCCAGGCGCCCTCTCCCTTTTATCTTTTCAAAGCACCAGCTTTTAGTTTCAATGTTTTTCTCTGTTGTTTTTCCATTTCTCTTTATTTCTGTTCCTGTCTTATTTCCTCCCTCTTCTTGCTTTAGATTTATTACTTTTCTTTTTCTAGTTTCTTGAAATGGAAGCTTACATCCTTGATTTTAGACCTTTCTTTTCTAAGAAAAGCAGTTAATGTTATAAAATTTCACGTTCATCACTGTTTCAGTTGCATCCCATAAATCGTTATATTTTTATTCAGTTCAAATAGTTCTATTTCCCTTGAGATTTCTTCTTTGACCTGTGGATTAACTAGAAGTGTACTGCTTAATTTCCAAGTGTTTGGAGATAGTCCTGCTATTTTTTTTTTTTTTTTACTTTTGAGCGTGGAGCCCAAGGCGGGGTTTGAACTCACCACCCTGAGTTCAAGACCTGAGCCAAGATCAAGAGGCTTCATCCACTGAGCCACCCAGGCGCCCCCTGTTATCTTTTACTGATTTGTAGTTTAATTCCATTATGGTCAGAGAATATACTTTGTATGACTTCAATTGTTTAGAATTTCTTAAGATTTGTTTTATGATGGTACTAAAAGTTTCTGATTTCCTTCTCCAAGTCCCCTGCTACCAGCCGCTCCATAAATTCAGCCTAGGATTGCAGCTGCTTTCAGTGGGGCAGACAGGAGGCTCTAGCCGACTGGAGCCAACCTCGAGTCTCTTCTCCCCTGTACGCGTGCCCCTGGCACACACCCGAGCCACTCCGTGCTGAAGCACCTCAGTCACCTCACGTTCCACCCTGCCCGCAGGTTTTTCGCCAGCGCTGTGCGGAACCCGGGACTGGAGTGCCTGCATGAGGCGGAAATCCCGCCTCCCGGCGCCTGCGGTTGGCCCTGACCGCAAGGGGTGAACCCCAAGGAGGAAGATGAGCAGGATTGAACGAAGCAGGGGAGTAGGGAGGAAGGGCGAGAGGGCTCCTCTTCCCCATTGGCTGGTCCAGCGAGCAGCCTCGCTGTGATTGGCTGGCCAATGGGGGCGGTAGTCCCGAGTCGGCCCGCCTCTCCGGTCGCGAGAGATACCGGGATCACCAGCGCCGGCGGAGCCAGCGGTGGCTTGGAGGCTGTGTCCGCACGCCGCTGGAGTGAGGCGGCGGGGCCTTTGCGCGTCAGGTCCTCATCCCCGGGGGCAGCGAGGGCGGCCAGCCACTGGGGCAGTGCGGGTCGGAACCCAGGGCACGGTCGGGCTGGGGCGCGGCGGGCGTTGGGGCGGCCGCCGGACCTGGGCCTGCGCGGACCGCCCGCGGCGCGCGTCTCGGACTGTCTTTCCATTTCAAAGTGATTATTGTTTTGGATTTTTCCGCAGACGTGACTTTTGATTAATTTGTTTCACGCACCAGTACTGGTATGGGATAAAGTGGTAGATGCATGCTACTGTCATTTGTCGTTGAAATGTGGGCTTCCTGTCGTCTGTGTGTTTACCTTTTGGATTTAAGGGAAGGGGATGACATTGTGATTTGGTCTCTTGTGACCGTCCATTCTCAAGGTCTCGCAGACGTACAGAAACCAGGCGAATCCTGTGTGTGGCTCTTAACCTGTATTGGAAGTAGGCTTTTTCTTCCATCCTCCTCCCTGTCTCTCTCCATCTTTCTCTTCCTTTCTCCTCCTCTCCCTCCCCTCCCCCACCTGTTCTCCTCTCCCATCTTTCTGTTCTTTTTGCCGCATTAAACCTTGCGGGAGGGTCTTGGTACAATTCTGAAAAGCTTTAGGTCTTCCAACATTTATGTTCTACTTGCAGGATTGACAACTGGGAGGAAACTGGCGGAAAGATGCCCTCTGATTCTTTCTGCTTGGCTGCCCAGACTCGACTTGACTCCAAATGGTTGAAAACAGATATACAGGTGGGGTTTTGACATGCTTTTTTCTTGGTGTGTTCCTGCCTCCATATTTAAATTTCTGGTTACGGCTTTATATAGGATAAGTACGAGGATGCAGATCGGATCTTGCCTATTAGAGAAGCAGGTTTATTTCCTATAATTTAAAATGCACCTTTATTGTATCAGTTTTTATAGATTGTGGCTACATTTTAGTTGCAGTTATGTGTAAGTGCAAGAAACTTGAGATCTGTTTATGCAAACATTTTTTCTATTATTATTTTTAAGAGGTCTGTAGTATTCTTAACCTTGTTGACTGTTTCGTGATAGTTTTGAGATGTTCAGTTAATGAGGGGAAGAAATGACATGTAGTAATTTATTATGTCCTGCAGAAACTCACTCATTTTATGGGACCCTGTGTTTTTGTTTCTGGGGAGACAAGAGTTCAGTTGAGCTGTTTGTTTTTGTGACTGGTCTTTTAAGAGGAGTGCTCAGGTTTTCACATAAAGAATGCGTGGAAACAAAATGTTGGCCTTAGACTCTCTAATGTTTTAATAATGTAATTATAAGCTTGTCCAGAAATTATCAAATAAATAATAGCAGTAATCTTTCTATAGACTTTTTTTTTTTTTTTTTTTTACCCCAAGTTAGTTTTCTTTGCAAATCGTTTGGAAAAACTACTTTTGTAACTCCATATTAACAGCAAAAAGAAGTGTCTGAAATATTTTGTAGTATATATGGCTTTTTTTCTCTTTCCTGAGGTTAACCATTTTAAGTATTTCTCAAGTAATCTCTGGTTTTCAATACAATCTTACATAGTGCATCACAGTTTATCAAGAGTCATATATTCTATAAGCACTTGATCTTAGATACTTGTAGTGAAGTATTATAATCTCTCTTTATTTATTTATTTAAAGTGTTGAGTCCCAGTAGGTGTAAGAGCCAAGTGCTTAGAACTGTGTTGTGGATTTTGGGACAGTTATTAATGGGGTAATGTTAGATTAAAGCACACAGAATTGGGCCAAAAATTGGCATAGTAGTGACTCTTTTGGTTTGTTTTTTGTTTAAACATTGCTTTTTATTTAGCAATTACTGTTTGTTTTCCTTTGTCATTTTTTTTTTTTTAAAGCGTGGTGGGGGGAGGTGAGATGAGTAATTTCTTATTTCTGAAATCTTGAGATTTAGGCAAACTGATTTTAAGACTTCATTTTTTTATTAGTGTTTATTTTATTAGAACTTGTTGAAGTAAAGAACTTTATGAAGTTTTTCTTTTTAATCATAATTGAATAACTGCATAATATGAGTTTTAGCATCTTGATCTAAAACCAGTTTAATGCTGAGTTGAGTGCCTATGATGAGTCAGGCAGATGTACATAAAAAGAAACACCACTTACGCCTTAGAGTTATTTTATCTTTGATTTATTTAGTGTAATATATAGTGCTTAGCCCTTCTTAGACATTTCAAATATTAGTCAGAAGTCCTCCAAACTCATCCTAGGAATACATGAAGAGACGTAGGTTTTGGAGAGTGCCCCAGAGGGAAAATGTGTTGTGGGTGTTGAAGCTACTTAATATCATGAAAAAAGTGATCGCTGACCTTGGTTTTATATAGTTTCTCCAGCATTGCTTATTAAATGTGAGGAGCAAATGTCGTTTTACCCTAACAAATGACTTAGACTTAGCTTCACTCTTTGGAATCCTTCCTATAGACACACATTGCAGATGCAAGCCTTATACTGACAGCTTTTATCCTTACCCTATTGGGATGTCTCTCCCAACTGGAGTGGGCAGTGTCCCATTCCTTAGGTAGGGTTTTTATATTGGGAACAGAATTGACACCTCGTTAATTAATATTATGTGGGGTAGAAACATGTTTCTTAGCCATAGAATTTAGCAAATCTGTTTTCTGTGGCTATTTTTGTTTGAAATGCCTGTGAAGGTTTTAGTGACTTTAGAAAGGAAATATTTTTGGAGGCAGTGAAAACTTTTAATATGTGTATATTATAAAGAACACAGGCACTAATCCTAGACTTTCTTGTTCATAGGTGTTTAGGCCTACGATGTGTCAGGCCTATGATGTTGCAACAAGCTGCCTTTAATAGAGTGCCAGTTATATGGCAGGCATATATGTGGTTTTTACATATATAATGCTTTTTACTTTTCTTTCTTTTTAAAAATTTTTTTTAATTTTAATTTTTATTTTTTAAAGATTTATTTATTTGAGAGAGCGAGAATGAGAGAGAGAGAGTACATGAGAGGGGGGAGGGTTAGAGGGAGAAGCAGGCTCCTTGCTGAGCAGGGAGCCCGATGCAGGACTCGATCCAGGGACTCCAGGATCATGACCTGAGCCGAAGGCAGTCGCTTAACCAACTGAGCCACCCAGGCGCCCCTCTTTTTTTTTTTTAAAGATTTTATTTATCTGACAGAGACAGCAAAAGAGGGAACACAAGCAGGGGGAGTGGGAGAGGAAGAAGCAGGCTCCCTGCTGAGCAGGGAGCCCGATGCGATGCGGGGCTTCATCCTAGGACCCTGGGATCATGACCTGAGCTGAAGGCAGACACTTGAGCGACCCAGGCGCCCTGCTTTTTACTTTTTCAACACTCTTTTCTGATTGTTGTGTGGAGTACCTTGAATTGCCATTTCCTTTGCAACTCTCTTGAAGAGGCAATAAAATATAGAGCTAAGAGATGTTAGCTACATAATCAGTACCATTTTTATATTTAAAGTAAAAGTCCTGTCTGATACGATTGGTTGTTTCTCAATGAACCAAAAAGTCAGTTAAGCAAAGGACCTATAAAAAAAATGATACCTTAAAAGCTTTTTATTCTTAAATCATATATGCACATTTATTTGCTAGTTTTGATGTAAGGCTAGGGGTGTGTCTTTGAGCATGGCTCCAAGAATGGTGTTATCTTTTTCTTGCATAATCTGTACTCAGATGAATCTCCTATAGTTTCTATTTTTGGATTCTTTGAAGTGGAGCATGAAATTAGATATGTATGATGCAATTTTTTTTAACTTTTTACTTTGAAATAATTTATAGACTCACAGGAAGTTGCAAAGAAAGTAGAGAGGTCACGGTATACTCTTCACCCAGATTCCCCCATTGGTTACATCTTATGTAACTATAGTATACTATCAAAACCAGGAAATTGACATTGGAACAATGTGTGCATAGTTCTGTGCCGATTGTGTAATCACACCGCAAAGATCTCCTTCCTCTTGCCCCTCTATAGGTCACACCATCCTTCCCCCACCATCTCTGACCCCTGGCAATCACTAATCTGTTTTCCATCTCTTTAATTTTGTCATTTTGAGAATGTCATATGATATGTGATCTTTTAAGACTGGTTTTGTTCACAGTATAATGCCCTTGAGGTCCATCAAAGTTGTTGAGTATATTAATAATTACTCAAATAATTTATTTGTCTCTTCTTCTAATCAATTTAGAATGAGTAAAGATAAAAGTTAAAATTTAAAATTAAACTTAAAATTATTAAATGTATATATTGTTACTTTATGCTTAGAATATCAGTAGATTAAAGAACATAAATGTGATCATCTTGGTAAATTCTATTCTCAGGTTTTCCAGTTGACAGATGAGATGTAGAAATAAAAGAATTTTGTAATACAGGTAACTTAATATTCATAATGACATCTTCTGATTACTTTTTTGTCTGTAGGATAGGTAGCATAGCTCACTTTTTTATTCATGATTTTGGTTATTTGCATTTTCTCTATTTTGGATTAATCTTGTCAGGGCTTTAAACATTTTGTTAGTCTTTTTTAAAAACTAACTTCTGGTTCTTAGAAAAGACTAATAATATTTATAAGGGAAAGATAAATATGAGGTTACCATCAGATTTGATAAGACTTTTTTTGCAGAAGAAGATTCCGTAACATATTTATGGCTCCCAAGAAAAGAAAATGGGAGGCAAGGATGTTATGTTCTACCAAAACTGACTTTTCAGGCAAAAGGACACAACTTTATCAATGAACAAATACTGTTCCCATGAGCTCTTCTTGAGGAAGTGAGCAGAGAAGGATCTTTAGATGACCGAATGACTGTAGATTGACATGAAGAGTGATGGTGGTCATTGCACCTACAGTTATGTGTGGAACCTAGAGTAAATGAGTTATAAAAGGGAGAAAACATACTATATAATAGCATTCTGCTTAGACATGGTACATTATAGTATAACTGTTACACATTGTCTAACCTATTAATCCTACGCATTGAAGTTTTCACTTTAGATGTTGTATTTTTCATCTCTAGGTATTCCATATGGGTCCTTTTCATATCTTCTGTTTCACTTGTCATCAGTTTCATATTTTCCTATTTGTGAGCATCTGGACGTATCTATAATAGAGTTTTTAATGTTCTTGTCTGCTAATTCCATCATCTCTATCACATCTGGATTTATTTCTATTGATTGCTTCTGTCATTTCCATTGATTGATTGCTTTGGTCATGGGGTGTGTTTGCATGTCAGGTAATTTTTTATTGAATGCTGGACAATATTATGTTGTTCTGTGCTGGATTTTGTTTTCTTTCTTTAAAGAGCATTAGTTTTGTCTGGCATTCATGTAAGTTTGTTGGGATCAATTTAATTTTTTCAAAGCTTGATCCTCAGGTTTGTTCAGGCTGATCTAACACAACCTCTAGTCATGTACTAATTTATCTGCCTTACTAAGGCAGTATCCTTCTTAGGACTCTTCCAAGTGTTTGGTGTGATAGGAGGTCTTTTTCATTTTTGTTGGTGGAAACACAAGCTTTTCTCAGACTGGGAATCATGGGGATTCTGCCTTTTTCTTTCTAGTGCTTCTTTCCCCAGCCTTTGTAGTTTTCTTAACCCATGCCCAATTCAGTATTCAGCCCAAGACTCAAGGGGTCCCCTCTGTCCATCTTTAGAGTTCACTCTTTCTCTACAGATCCCCCTTCACCTGTATTCTTGTCATTTTAACCTCTTATAGCTGATCTGTGTCCTCAACTCAGCAAGACCTCTGGGCTCTATTTGGGTTCCCCTT